GTGTGTCAGAAATAATGGGGACCTGAGAGTCAGAAAATGGAAATTGAAATCTTGTCCTAGGAGTGTGAGATCGAGTAATTTACTGAGTCAACCTATGCTTCCAATTCTTCATATGTAAAATAGGGGGATTGATTTAGATAATTTTAAGATCCTTTCCACACACACAATATAATACTCGACGAGTTTCTGAAGCAGAGACAACCACTTGAGAGTGAAGTTAGGTGAATCCCTTGCCTAATTTCTGGGGAAAGGAGGCTCACAGTTCTTGAGACCTTTGTATTTATGGCAGCTATATTGACATGAAATGATTTTGTGCATTGCATGGCAAGAAAAAGATCAGCTGCTGCTTGGGGAATAAACAAATGCTCAAGTTGCAGTGGGAGTTATTAAAACATTCGAGTTGGTTTGGCCATATTTAAAGGTGAATTACAGAAAATATGATTGCTCATAAATGCTTCATGTACATGGCATGGATGTGATGGGCTGCAAAGATACAAAGAATAACCTTTATCTTGGACCACAGCAAAGACAAGACAGATAGTATCTATTATTTGACTTACGAGGCTACAAGTGTTATCTCTCAGTTCCTCCATTAATAAAGGCACAAGAATTGCTTGAACCCAGGAGGCGGAGGTTGCAGTGAACCGAGATTGCGCCACTGCACTCCAGCCTGGGCAACAGCAAGAGACTTTGTCTCATAAATAAATAAATAAGGCCTGTGTCTCCCCATTGGGGAAAAACCTGATGCAGAAAATAATAAAATGAATGTTTAAGACGTTAAATTTTGTACTATCCACTTATGTCATTATGGAGTAATTGAAGAGAAAAGGGAAAAGTGAAAACGTTCTGGTTTGTAAATTCTAACTATGTAAAGAATGTTATATAATCATCAAAATTTTAACATCTCCTAAAAATCAGAATAACAATAAAATTTAAATGCCATCCATACTTAAATATTTCTCTATTAACAAGAAAGTTTTGAATATTTACATTTCACAGAGCTGGTATTTATAAGGTGAAAAGAAGTAACTTGATGAAACTGCATTATATGCCTCTAGTGTATATATATACACATACATATACATATATATACATATATATAGAGAGAGACAATGCTGGAGTCCCGCATTGACTTTTTTTCGTACTTTAGGTTCTAGGGTACATATGCAGATCATAAAGGATTGTTGCATAGGTACATACATGGCAAGGGGGTTTGCTGCCTCCATCCCCCCATCGTCTGTACCTGGCATTTCTCCTCACATTACCCCTCCCCACCCACTGCTGTCCCTCCCCTAGCCCCCCAGCAGACCCCGGTGTGTGATCTCATTCCCTCCCTGTGTCCACATTGTTCAACACCCGCCTGTGAGTGAGAACATGAGGTGTTTGATTTTCTGTTCTTGTGTAAGATTGCTGATAATGATGGTTTCCAGGCTCATCCATGTCCCAACAAAGGATGTGAACTCATCTTTTTTTATGGCTGCATAGTATTCCATGGGGCATATGTGCCACATTTTCTTTGTCCAGTCTATCATTGATGGGCATTTGGGTTGGTTCCAGGTCTTTGCTATTGTAAACAGTGCCACGATGAACATATATGTGCATGTGTCTTTATAATAGAATGATTTATAGTCCTTTGGGTATATACTCAGTAATGGGATTGCTGGGTCAAATGGAATTTCTATTTCTAGGTCCTTCAGGAATCACCACACTGTCTTCCACAATGGTTGAACTAATTTACACTCCCACCAACAGTGTAAAAGTGTTCCTATTTCTCCACATCCTCTCCAGCATCTGTTGTCTCCAGATTTTTTAATGATTGCCATTCTAACTGGCATGAGATGATATCTCAATGTGGTTTTGATTTGCATTTCACTAACGACCAGTGATGATGAGCATTTTTTCATGTTTGTTGGCCTCATATATGTCTTCTTTTGAAAAGTGTCTGTTTATATGCTTTGTCCACTTTTGGATGGGTTTGTTTGTTTTTTTCTTGTAAATCTGTTTTAGTTCTGTGTAGATTCTGGATATTAGCCCTTTGTCAGATGGGTGGATTGAAAACATTTATTCTCATTCTGTTGGTTGCCAAGTTCACTCTAATGATTGTTTCTTTTGCTGTACAGAAGCTCTGAAATTTAATTAGATCCCATTTGTCTATTTTGGCTTTTGTGGCCATTGCTTTCGGTGTTTCTGTCATGAAGTCCTTGCCTATGCCTATGTCCTGAATGGTTTTGCTTATGTTTTCTTCTAGGGTTTTATGGTGTTAAGTCTTGTTTAAATCTTTAATCCATCTGGAGTTAATTTTAGTGTAAGGTGTCAGGAAGGGGTCCAGTTTCTACTTTTTACACACTGCTAGCCAATTTTCCCAACACCGTTTATTAAACAGGGAATCCTTTCCCCATCGCTTGTTTTTGTCAGGTTTGTCAAAGTTCAGATGGTTGCAGACATGTGGTGTTGCTTCTGAGGCCTCTGTTCCATTGGTCTATGTCTGTTTTGGTACCAGTCCATCAACACATGGACTTTTAAAACTTCTCATGTGTGGCATGTGATACTTCTAATCACATTACTTTGAACAAAGTCAGTCATGTATCCAAGGTTCTGGTAAATAAAGTGAGATTTATACTCCTCCCACAGTGTGGGAGGGCTCCTGAAGGGATGAGCCTTACACAAAAAGATAACCAATTTTGATTTTTAAAAATTCAGTCTGCCAGATACGGTGGCTCCTGCCTGTAATCCCAGCATTTTGCGAGGCGGAGGTGGGCAGATCCGTTGAGGTCAGGACTTCAAGACCAGCCTGGCCAACGTGGCAAAACCCTGCCTCTACTGAAAATATAAAAATTAGCCAGGCATGGTGGCTCATGCCTCTAATCTCAGCTGCTTGGGAGGATGAGACAGGAGAATCACTTGAACTTGGGTGGCAGAGGTTGCAGTGAGCCAAGATCGTGCTATTGCACTCCAGCCTGGGTGACAAGAGTGAAATTCTGTCTCAAAAAGAAAATATTCAGTCTACTACATAGACTTCCACTTGATAATAATCATATTAATATTCCATAAATAAAAATATTCATAATGACAGTTACTTGGAAGTCTCATTTAGTTAATTACAATCACATTCACATTGCTGGTAATCTAGTCCAAGTTATCTCCTTAACTCCATTTCATTTAATGATCTGCATTAAATTTCTCCCTTCTCCAAATTATCTAAATAAATTCTTACAAAATACTCCTTTCAAATAATCATAATTCTTTCCACTATGTTAAAATGATCCCTTATCTTTTATATCAAGTTAAATTTTTGGAAAGACATTCTTATTCTTCTAAACTGCTAAGTATCCTGTTTCATGGTAAATAAGTTACACTGTTTTCCCTCCACATGCATTTTTTTTTCTTCTGCCAATAGATATTTTAGTTTTCATCCTAAGTCAAGTTCATGATATGTCTCCTGCAAGAACACTTGCTTGATTGATTCTGCACATTACCCTTTTATTTTAACTGAAGTCTACTTCATCCATGGTCTCTGAGAATTGGCTGAACACTAGGTTTATTTGGTTGCTTTTTTCACCAATTGTTTTATTTAATATCTTCAAATAACTGTAAATTACTTGAAGCAGAGGCAAATGTTTTGGATTTTGTTCTTCATTGCTTCTAATATAGTATTAGATAATCAAGAGTGCTTATTAGAATTAGTTGACTTGATATTTCCTGCTGCTTTTTGAAATCAGGACTGTCCCAGCTTCTAGTCCCTGAGTCTCTCAGGTCCAGGTGAAAACAATCATCATAAATTCTCATAAGATTCTTGAAATATCTTTCCTTTGTGAGCTCAATAATGCAATTTTGTTTAATAAATCCCATTGCAAGATGATGTCTTTTTCAATTCCCAAGTCCCTACAACATCCATTTTATCCACAGCTGTTACACAACTAATGATTCAACTAGGTCATTTATTTATTTTTAAAATTGCCTTCTCTGCCCTGTCAGAGCCTGCTTAACACTGAGTAATTTAAAGCCCTGGTTCTGCTATAGATTTGGTAAGTAAAAGTGTTTTACAAATGAGTTCTACTGAAATATTTTAAATGTTTGCCCTTCACACTCCCATTTCCTAATTCCTATTCCATGAAGCTGAGGTCAATACAACAGTTTACATATATTGCCATTTACAGAAGAATAATTCAAACAGAGGTAAAATGAAAGAGATCGATCTTTGAGCACTTTCCCATGAAAATGTTCTTATATATCCTTTAGGATATAAACTTTTAAATCATAGAATGATAGATATTTGCAAGGAACATGTTCATATTTTAATTAAAAGAAAGGACCAAAAGATGTTAAATGACTTTCCTTTGTCTATATGACTATTTTGTAAGAAATCAGTCTTCGTTCTCTGGATGAATATCAACAAAACTAACTTTCTATGTATTTCTTTTTAGTTTCAAACAGAAAACTTTATCTGGGAATACTTTAACAGTTCATCTCTGGAAATTTACAAGAGCTCTACAACTGTCCATTGAAACTTCACTATAATGTTGCCTAAGAGCCCTTACAAGTGATATAATTTTTATATGTTTTTGTTGGGATATCTTTATGGACAAATTCCAAATGACTAAACATATATGTGTATGTGTGTTTCACACATTGTCAGCATAAAGTAAGTGCTTACTGTTATCTTAAGGATTACATAGATGAATAGATGGACAAATAGGTAGGTAGGTAGGCCTGTTCAGAATGATATTATCTTGATTGGATTGCCATTTAGTACCAGGAAAGAAAGTGTTCTTTTCAACACCTGTGATTTAAGGAGTATTTTGCCATAAGCTCTGATACTCCATAATTTCCTTTCAATCCAATATACCAAATGAGAAGAATGGAAAGAATAGTTAAGATAAATTTTATAGAGAAAATAAAATATCTGAAAGTAGATTATTAGGTGAATCTTTTTCTTCCATTGGATCTGACTTTCCTCTTTTTTTACTTTTGATACAGGCTCCTACCTATAAATCAAGACAATGGATGTGGCCAATAAGTCCACCATGTCTGAATTTGTTTTACTGGGGCTCTCTAATTCCTGGGAACTACAGATGTTTTTCTTTACGGTATTTTCATTGTTTTATGTGGCAACAATGGTGGGTAACAGCCTCATAGTCATCACAGTTATAGTGGACCCTCACCTACACTCCCCTATGTATTTCCTGCTTACCAATCTTTCAATCATTGATATGTCTCTTGCTTCTTTTGCCACCCCCAAGATGATTACAGATTACCTAACAGATCACAAAACCATCTCTTTCAATGGCTGCCTTACCCAGATATTCTTTCTCTACCTTTTCACTGGCACTGAGATCATCCTACTCATGGCCATGTCCTTTGATAGGTATATTGCAATATGCAAGCCCCTGCACTATGCTTCAATCATTAGTCCCCATGTGTGTGTTGCTCTCGTGGTGGCTTCCTGGATTGTGGGAATCATGCATTCGATGAGTCAGGTTGTATTTGCCCTCATGTTACCATTCTGTGGTCCCAATGAGGTAGACAGCTTTTTCTGTGACCTTCCGGTGGTGTTCCAGCTGGCTTGTGTAGATACTTATGTTCTGGGCCTCTTTATGATCTCAACAAGTGGCATAATTGCTTTGTCTTGCTTTATTGTTTTATTTGATTCATATGTTATTGTCCTGGTTACTGTGAAGCATCATTCTTCCAGAGGATTGTCTAAGGCCCTTTCTACTTGTACAGCTCATTTCATTGTTGTCTTCTTGTTCTTTGGGCCATGCATCTTCATCTACATGTGGCCACTAAGCAGCTTTCTCATAGACAAGATTCTGTCTGTGTTTTATACCATCTTTACTCCCATTTTGAACCCAGTAATCTATACTCTGAGGAATCAAGAAGTAACGACAGCCATGAGGAAACTGAAAAATAGGTTTCTAAATTTTAATAAGGCAATGCCTGCTCATTATTTTTCATCTTATCTTTTAGTTCTACTTAACTTCTAGCTTTTACCTTTAAGGCATTAAGTGTCACAGTTTTTGTGACACAGAACATTAGTGACAATACTGTGTTAGGGTCTTCTTTCTAGAGATTTCTTATCAAATCGTAATTGCCAAGAATTTGTGAGGGCTCAAGGTCAGTGAATGTTGAAACTATTCTCATGAAGATGAATGTGTTCAAAATACATTTGAAATTTCAGAAAAGCAAGTTAATGAGAGCAATTTATTCCAGAAACAAAGACTATAAAAATTTCAGGAGTGACAGTTCCAGTTAGAACATTCAATATCAATAATCAATTTATTAGAAAAGAGGACCAAGGAATGAGAAGAAGAAATATAGATTAAAGCAGAGCTAGGAGATAATGACAATTACACACAGAAATTGAGTCATTCCGTGAGATGCTTCTAAAGTATGACAAACTAGTGAGATTCTATGATCCTTAGAAACTCCATACAGAAAAGTGATGATTTTTGACATACTTTCTGAAGCCACTCCTACTTAACATTTAAACCAATTTGTGATCTCTTCTATTAAAGAAAACTCTAGATATATTTTTATTACAAATGTTGATGTCCATAAAAATGCTGTAAGTGTAGCAGTCTTTACCAATCACTTTTAGTTCATCATCAAAGCAATACAGTCATGATATTTCTTTCTGGTAATGCAGAATTGAGTAGAGTGGCTGGAGATTTCTGCAAATCAGAAAGTATTATGTAATAAGTTGCAGAGCAGTACACTTTGTTTTGTATAGACTCTATGGTTACTTAATTCCCAAGAAGTTAAAGCTAGAATTAAGAGACACAGCTTATCATGGTTGAATTTATGGAAAGTCCATACTTTCATTTTAAAGTGTTATATTGCTTTGCATTTTGGTTACTTTTTTCTTGAAATATTTGGATGTGAAAATAAGAAATCTGCATTTAGTAATATACTGTCAATGTAATAAGCATGTTTTTGTACACGAATAGGTTTTGTTACTATTATAAATAAGCCTGGTAGGGTCAATATTAGCTTTAATATATGCAAATTATCACTACCACCTGCTGCTGGTACTTACTGGAATTGCAAGTGTGAAAGAAACATAATTCTGTATATCCTGCTTTGCAAATCATCTTTAAATGATGGCAAACAAACGAAATAACATGAGTTAACTGTTATTTAGAATTTTCTAAATGATATTGATAAAATATAGTGTCCTATATATGATTCAACATGTATCCACAAATGGAAAGATATATTGCAACCACAGTATTTGATAATATCAGGTTGTTATTTTCTGGTAAGATTGAATAAGCGGAGAAGACAAACAAAATTCACTAATTATCATTTATGAGAGACAATTAAAATAGAACATTTTTAGATGTTCATTTTAAGCAAAATTAGAAAAGGAATGTATTTTTCTTCATTGGTTTGTGTTTTTTTTCTTCATTAATGTACTAAAAAAATAAGGAACAAATTTACAGCTTGAAAGTCTGTGATATTGTGTTTAAAGCCTGAGTAGCTTTGAAATTATTAGATAATAATGTCTACAATATTAACATAAAATAAAACATCCTTATGTAAGCACAAAATTCGCATAATTCTATTTTAAATAGAGAAACAAATAGGCCAATTTAGGTTTTAAGAGTGGACTTTCTCTCAGTTGCAGTTATATGTACAAATATGTTCATATTCAAGGACCTTGTTTATGTAGAATGTTTTACCTGATGTTTAAAAAATACTCAAAAGAATTCTTTCAGTTGATATATTTATTTGTCCGGGGAATATTTTAAAAACTGTACTGCTTTTTGCAATATAAAACTGTGGAGTCTTTTGAAAGAAATGCTATTGATTTTCAGTGCTTTTGTGGAGAATTCTAAAACTCAAGAACATTTGCCAACATACCCTCAAAGGTGGAGCTATAAGGCAAGTCAATAATGAGATTGAGTAGTTGGATTGATAGTAAATTTCTGTAGCCAATAAAAAGGATTACAGAAAGCCACTGGAGGACTTCCATGTATAAATGGAAATATCTACCCCATTTCTTGGTGGCTTAGTGTGAGGAGTTAATATTCATGATAACTTTTCATGTTATATAGACATTTAAAAAAATCTTAGGTCTCTGGGACTCATGGTGGATGATTTTCCTCCAAGGCCCTAGATTGGGACATCTCTTAGACAAGATGCTGGCACTCTTTTACCAAGGATAACTGCAGTGACATGACCAGGGACTCATTAAGCAATAGTAATGATGGTGCCAGTTGCCACCAGAGTATCCAGAGACAGAGATGATGTTCTGCAGAGAATAGAAGATAAGCAGAAACTAGTTAATGTAAATGTAACCGGACAAGTATAGTTTTAAGTGATCTGCACAATTTGCAATAACACAATTGAGGGAGTTCCAAAGCGTTTATAAGCAGATCATGTTGACAAGCAACTTCATCTTCCTCTAAGTGTTTAGGAAGCCGTGAAGCTCAACAATAGTAAAAAATACTGAATAATGTTAAGCAGAATAACTGAATGCAGATGGAAAAACTGTTAAAAATCAGGTACAGATGAAAACAGATAAAATGTAAATTTTAATATGTGGAGGAACGGGATATATGCAACAGCAATAAAAATGCTAAATTATGTTTGTTTCTGAAAATGCCTAAGAAAACTTTTAGCATAAATACTATATGGTATAATGATGGTGGATTTACATAAAGCTAGTAAAGCTTAAGTTTTAGAACTCCTCCTTTGCATGGATTTCCTCCAAGGCCCTAGAATGGGACCTAACAACCACTTATTAGTTATTTTGATTTTTTTTTTTCCTAAAACAGATGTCCTCAAACTGTATAAGCTTTAGGTCTAGCTTGTCCAACCCGTGGCCTTCAGGTTGCACGCACTCATGAGATGGCGTTAAATGCAGCCCAACACAAATTTGTAAGCTTTCTTAAAACATTATGAGATTTTCTTATAATTTCATTTTTTAAGCTCATCAGCTATTGTTAGTGTCAGTCTATTTTATGTGTGGCCCAAGACAGTTCTTCTTCCATGTACCCCAGAATATAAAGTACAATTAAAAAAAAAGAAAAAAGAAAAAAAAGTATTTTCAAACTTAAGAACTCTTCCCTACCCATGAGTATTTAAACAACAGAGTTAAAGCAAAATTGTTGAGAGAGTTGGAGTAATTCTCTTATCTCCCTTTTTTCCCCCTGATATTATTTTCCATGATTTTCAGATGTATGTGTCAATTGAAAAACAGGGAGAAGAAAACAGCTGGGAAATCTAATTCATGTGAACGTCTTGCACGTACGCTCAGATACCAATGAAATCCGCTAAGCAATTTGATAGCTTTTCAGTTTATAAGTTTCTTTTATGCTTTGTTGTTTGGAATTATTTTCAATGCTCTTGGTTACAACTGTGAAATAAATATGCACAAATTATTCTGGAGTTAGCAGGACCAACACTTAAATGAGATTGAAAATGTCTATGCGATCATTGATTGATGTATTCTGTCTGCATTATTGCTGATATAATTCAATTGACAGGTTGTTTATTTTTTCTCTCTGATTTTTGTAAAACAAATTTCAGTAATCTTTCATATTACACTTTCATTATTATGTTTTATTCTGATAATTTACACTGCCAATATAAGGAGATGTATACTTGTTTTTTTTTTTTTTTTTCTTAAATAAAAATGTTTTAGGACTGGAGGCTCCAGGTTTTTTCCATTTTTATGACTACTAAATGCAGGACCATTGTTAATTTACCTATCTTTTTTCTTTACCTTTTAACTGTACTAGGAATCTGAATCCATAAATAAAAGCTAGATTTTTATCTTTTTTCCCACTTGCCACCTGTTAAAGAAAATTTAAAGGAGAGAATTTTTTTTTTTTTTAGTTTGAGACTAGAAATAGCAATTTAATTAGTCATTTTAAAATATATTTATTTTTTTTCTTGCTAGAGTATACTTATATTGGTATACTCCCATAGTAAGGAAAACATAGTAAGGAAAATATAAACCATAGTAAGGAAAACACAAACCACTGGGTAAATTAAGCAGATTTAATGCAATGTATTAAATGCTTATGAATAATTCAAAGACTTACAGGAACATGCACTGGAGGCTGCTATTGTGCTCCAGAGCACATTACCCCAGTAATGTGATGTAAAGGCAAAAGGCAAAAAGCCTTGATGTCACTGCCACTCCTTCACCACCCTCAACACTCTTAAAGTTGGTGAATAGTCACTGGACACAGATATGGCTGCCACAGTTGCATTCCCTCACATCTCATCATCATCTTGCTTACCAGCATCAATTACATCAGTAGATGTCCTCTGCCTCACTTATGCATTTGGTACATCTAATTGGTAGAATCTACTTTGCATAGAGAACCATGGCTTCAAAAATCAATTTGCAGATTTCAAGATTTTTATGCAAAAGAAAACATGCTAATAGAGGATGGATTGGAGACTCCATCAGTCAATAGCCATTACTTTAATATTTTTTGTTATTACAGTCTTTTCATTGTAGTGTAAAACCAAGGTAAAAAAATATACAAATATGCTTACCTTAATGAAATGTTATAAGGCAAATTATAATATTTATAATTATAGTTATAAATATAATTATATATTATATAAATATATAATTATATTTATAACTATTATAATCACATTTCAAGTCACAAAATAGAACTTTGCCAGCTACTCCATTCTGACTAGTGTGAGATGGTATCTTGTATGGCTTTAATTTGCATTTTTCTAATAATTAGTGATGTTGGGCATTTTTTCTTGTGTTTGTTGGCTATCTGTGTTTCTTCTTTGGGAAGTGTTTATTCCTGTGTTTTGTCCAGTTTTTGATAAGGTTGTTTATAAATCCCTTGTTAGAGGCGTAATTTGTAAATATCTTTTTCTCATCCTGTAGATTGTCTGTTTATTCTGTTAATTATTTCTTTGGCTGTGCAGAAGTTTTTAGTTTGTTTAAGTCCCATTTGCCTATTTTTATCTTTGTTGCAATTGCTTTTGGGGTCTTCATCACAAACTCTTTGCTTAGGCCAATGTTCAAAATAATTTTTCTAGGCTTTCTTCTAAGAAATTTATAGTTTGAGGTTTTACATTTAGGTCTTTAATCCATCTTGGGGTAATTTTTGTATATGGTGAGAGGTAGGGGTCTAGTTTTATTCTTTCACTTTTTGCTTAGGATTGCTTTGGCTATTTGGGTTTTTTTTTGTGGTTTCATATGAATTTTAGAATTTTTTTTTCTAACTCTCTGAAAAATGACATTGGTATTTTGATAGGAATTGCATTAAATATGTAGATTGCTTTGGGTAATAAGGCCATTTTAATGATATTCTTCTAATTCATAAGCATGGAATGTTTTTCCATTGTTTTGTGTCATCTTCAATTTCTTTCTTCAGGGTTTTGTAGTTCTCCTTGTAGAGATATTCCATCACCTTGATTAAGCGTATTTCTAGGCACTTTATTTTTGTGTGTGCTATTGTAAATGTAATTGAATTGTTAATTTGGTTCTCAGCTTGAAGCTTATTGGTGTATAGAAATGGTACTAGTTTTTGTACATTGATTTTGTATCCTGAGACTCTCCTGAAGTTGCTTATCAAGTCTAGGAATCTTCTAGAGGAGGCTTTAGGGTTTTCTAAGTATACAATCATGTCATCAGCAAACAGAGATAATTAACTTTCTCTTTTCCAATTTGAATGTCTTTTATATCTTTTTCTTACCTGATAGCTCTGGAGAGGAGTGCCAGTGCTCTGTTGCATCAGAGTGTATGTTTATGCACATTAATTCTTTTCTTCTAGGTTTCTAGTTTGTGTGCATAGAGGTGTTCATAGTAGTCTCTTATTATTTATTGTATTTCTTTGATGTCAGTTGTAATGTCATTTTTATCATTTCTGATTGTACTTATTTGAATTTCCTCTTTTGTTTCTTAGTCTTGCTAGTGGTATCAATTTTGTTTACTCTTTCAAAGAACCAATTTTTTTTGTTTTATTGATTACATTGTATCCTTTTTTTGTCTCAATTTCTCTTATTTCTGCTTGGATTTTACATATTTCTTTTCTTTTGCTAATATTGGGTTCGGTTTGTTCTTGTTTTTCTAGCTCCTTGAGGTGCAACATTATATTGTTAGCTTGAGATCTTTCCATCTTTTTGATGTAAGCATTTAACGCTGTACAATTTGC